GGATTAGCAACAACTACACCAGACCCTTGAGGTATATGTGGATTAGCCAAGTTTGTAGCCGCAGTAGTACCTGCTGATACTGGTGGCGCAGTACGATTTTGGTACATAATAAAACGGCGGTCATTCTTCCTTGTGCATTCTGACCGGTGCGTTCTGGAGTTTCAATAGTAGGACCTTGATTAGTTCCTGCACCAGTAGGACCCTGAAGAAAAGGTCTTGGCATTCCATGCGGTTCATGAGTTATTCTGGGAACACCTTGTTGTCCAATCACTTGTGGTGGAACCATTGCTGGTCCTTGCTGAGTTTGAACTGGTGGTGTTTGAAATGTTGTATTCTATGACTAAACTTGATTTGTCACATGTGCATTCCTTGCAGCATCATTTCCCATTGCGGTTCCTAAATGCTGTGTTTATGGGCTTAATGGCCATGACATTTTATAAGGCATATGTTGCCCCAGTGGCGTTCCTAGCATCATCACATGTCCATTATATTGTGTAGACAATGGAGCTAACTGACGGCCATCAAACATGAAATTCCCAGTTGGCAAAATAAATGCAGGTTGACTTGGAACTATTGGATAATACGAACAGTGCAACCCATACCCTGCCATATTCGCAACAATTTGTGACCCGTTGTTGTTTGCTCCAGTTCCACTATGCTGTACCAGAGTATCTATTGCAGATGGTTGAAATGTAGCATTATACAATGGGTTGTTTACCATATTACCCTGAGGTACTTCCACGTGTGTTGTTCCTGTAGCTGTACTATTTCACGTTCTGGTCACTTATCATCTGTAAAGAATGCTTATACCATGCCACCTGTGCAGTAATATGATGTTCTTGTGCCATAAACCTTTGTTGCATCATCTCCGGAGTCATCAGTGGAATTTGATCCGCTTGACCTTATTATGAAATACCAGAGTCTGGAATAATGGGCTTTGAAACCCTAGAGTCTGAAAACCCGGACTTCTGTAAGACCCGAAAAAACTAGATCTTTCACCGAAAAGGCTTGACCCAGCAATAGACTGTTGCTAATTAGACTGTCATCCCATACCGGATGACTGATCTGTTATCTTCATTGAGAATGAGTCCATTGCCGAAATATGAGGAAACGTACTCATCAGCAAAGAACTCCCACTTGGCAAAGAAGTGTGCATCGGCGTGGACACTTGTCCGACCTACGATGTTGCTGTTGAGAATTGAGGCTTCGACATCGCTCCTTTGTTTAAACAACGCGTGGAACACGCAAATCGGTCCCACCCGGCGTGTCAAATTTTATGTTTCAATCAAAATTATATTTGAAAGTGAAAACCGACTCGGCTCAAACTGATTTCAAACGAGTGTGTGATACTCTCGAAATCCAGAGTCCAATCGTTAAAGTTATCAAGAGATGTCAACACCTTCGACTCACAATGAGCTTGAATGTTTAAGTGTTTAATGACAAAATGATGAAGAACTTTGAAAAGATGAATAAAACGGCCAAAGAAGACCAGCTTTATTCAATTGATGGAAATGAATCGGCTGTGAATAGCAAAAAGCGTCGAAAAGCTTACAATAATCAATACTGAATGATAAAGAAATACATGAAAGCTTGATGGAAATAAATGATAAAAAGCTATAAAGGAAATAAGAATATGATTTGGTATGATGAATTGTGTGTGTGTGTCGCCGTCTCTTCTTCATAGCTTTTATAGATCATCCGCCAACCCAAGTTGGAATGCAACCAAAGTCGAATCGGGTAAGAATTTATGATGTGGTTGGAATCCTTCTCCTACAAGGATTGTGATGTCGACGATACCTTCTCCAATTCAAACTGCCGACTGCCACTTCTTCTTCGGGCTCTATCAACTTTCTCGCAGGCTTAATGATTTTCTTTGCTCCCCTTATTGTTACTGCGATCGGCCCAACTCGCATGGACCACATTTGCCAAAATCAATCCAAAAAAGACATTTTGATTTGTCCTAGGTTTCATCTAATTAATATTTTTTTCTTATTGAAAAAATACTTAAAAATATTTTCTAATAATTAAAAAGACACAATGAATATGAAAATGTAGTTTTAAGGTCTTTTTTTTCAATCGAAATAATATATCAAGTGAAACATAGAACAATTGGAAATACCTTTTAATAGAGACCGGATAGAGTATATACAGTGACGGAACAAGAATTTTCAAATCAGGGGGTCGAAAATAGGATTATTCAACCGTCACCGTAGGGTCGAACTGAAAAATTTTCAAATAACAGACACCCTACTAAGAAAAGATTTGGCCAAATCCGGCCAGCCGGGGGGTCGATCGATCACCCTGACCCCCCTTTAAATCCGTCACTGAGTATATAAGACTAATAAGACGACAAACATGAGCATTTTAAATTGTAGTACTGCTTTCTTACTTCTCTCAAGCCAATCAATCACCTTTGGTTGCCCCATCATTGATGCTTTAATAGCCGGACAATTTCTTGACTAAGCCCCGCTTTATTATAGGTTTTCGGAAAGTTCCCATCATTCATCAGTTGAAATGACTTGGGACATTTTTTTTTTTTCAGATCCTAAGATTCTTGATGTTTGATTAAATCATGTCCTCATTCAGCTTCATTGTGCATGCTTTTTGTGCCATTGAATGCTGACATAAATTCTGTTCTGCGGTGTAAGTTATAAAATTAGTGATGGTCATTTGTGACCAAAAGATTTGTTAATATATAATAAGTAGGATTTAACATTTATTTCTACCTTACTTTTCGAAAAAGAAAAACTTATATTTCTACCTTCAAATGATTTACCAGCTAGTAATATGTAGAACCATCTTAGATATATACTATAACTGTACACTATAGACTATAGTAAGCCGCTTGAAGTTATTGTTTTCTTTTCTTAGTTTGTTCATTATCCAAGAACAGAAATCTAGAAAGATTATAAATGGGTCATACATGCAAATTTTCTACAAATAAAAGAGTAAGATTACACTTCTGATTCCCCTGTGTTTCAGTCCAACTGATATCTAGCATATGATGAACCCTGCGGGATTGAAGCAAAGAATGGATTTTACCAGACAACCTGAGCTTAGTTGGAAACAAAAAAAGGAGTTTGTTGATCCCCTGAGCTAATTAGTTGGAAAGCTTCTCTGCTGCCCATTGGTTTGTAAGTTGTATTACCGAATCCAGGTTAAAGCAATTGCAATTAACGTATTATAAATCCGAAGGCTTGGTATTCTTACTTCTCTTACCACAATTGATAGTCTTCTATGCCTCGTCATCAAAATCTCCTCCGCCCAGAGTCACAAAGCTGAACCTGTAAAGTGATCCATGATGCTAACAGATCTGAATTTGACAGAACATTTCATGGCCTGATTAGCTGGCTAAGAAAAACGAAAACTTTTGCAAGAATCTGAACTTCTTTGAAGTTAACGCCTGGATCGAGACTGAAAGACTGTATGGTTTCATAAAAATGATGAAATGAAACTCTTGGTGGTGAGAATTTTGTTTTTTAAAGAAAAAGAAATAAGAAGATCTTATGCGGCGGTGGCTGGCTGCCAAATCGGAAGAGAAGTCCTTAATGGTAGTGCTTAGCTCATGTTATGGGTGCTTGACTTTAGGGTGTCTCAAACCCAAAGTTGTAGGAGAAAATAATTTTTGGATTTTAAAACTAGACATTTATATACTTTTTGCGCTTTGAAAACGTAAAAATAAAAAATTAAATTAAAAATTCGCGTTTGTGAAACGCAAAATCTGTTAATGGAATTAAAAAAATTAAATTATTATTTGTACAAATTGATCCGGGAAAAAAAGAAAGAAAAAAAAAGAATTAAAAATGGGAAACAAAAAATAGCGTTTTGAAAATGCGAATAGTCTTATTCGTGTTTCAAAAACGCAAAAAAGCTTTAGCGTTTTAAAAACGCAAAAAGCTATATATTTAAAATAAATTTTTAAATTAATTTTATACAATCTAGCGTTTTGAAAATAAACCAAATATTGTGCCATTTTAGCGTTTTAAAAACGCGAAAAAAAAATTTTTAGCATTTTGAAAACACGAAAATTGGTTTTAGCGTATTGAAAACGCGAAAATATCCAAAAAATCTCCTCAAGCACTCATTTGGCTCCACGTGTATTTTGCTGATAAGATTTGAATGAATTCGTTTTTTGTACGTGCGAAATTTAAGATACACATACCAAAATAATAGCATTTCATCCCAAATCCACCTTATTTTGTTCTGTTGAGCTCCGAGTTTGAGTTTCACTCCAGAGGACTTGGCTGAACCCGGGAAAGCTCTCATTTCCTTCAAATTGAGAAGTTGCTCCGAAGTTAAAGAAAATTGATTTGAGTCCTGAAGTCTATTTAAAACCCAAAGTTTCAACATTCAGGTTTGTATTTTTTGTTATAGAAAAATGTAATTTTTTATGATTTATTGTGAGCATAGAATGATTTACACATTAATATTAGTTCATAAATAATTGTTATTTACTCAATTAGCGGTGGATTCTTAATTAGGCTGATAAAGTGAATTAAAAGAAATATTAATTACTAGAATGTTAAATTAGATGAGCTTTGTAAATTATTGTATATCAATTTCTGTAAAATAAAATAAATTAAACATGATATTGAATTTTTGAATATTTTTAGTATAATAATAAATTATGTAATTCGGACACAATATTTAAATTTAATATTAATTTAATTTTTTTATTGTAAAATTTGTGTGTGCTGTTGTTAAATTAGATGATTCTTGAAATTTATTGTATATTGGTTTATGAAAAAGTTTATAATACCCAGATTGAGTTTTTAAAATATTTTTAGCGTAGAAATGAATTTTTAAATTCAGGCGTCTAGTTGTTCTTTTGAAATTATTAAATTTGTAAACGGGGTGAATACTGTTTCGGCAAAACTAAAATTCAAAATGTATTCTAGTGTTCTGATTTCGTAGGAATTGATTTTGCAGGCTGTAAATGCTTTTCACGGAGACAGTTCGTCTGAAAGTATACTAGAATACTACTTATACAACTGAACCTGATGGGACTATCACAGTACAGCGGGATGTCGGACGGTTATCTTATCATTGATCTTAGGTTAGATTTCTCGGAACTTGTTGATAAGGTATGTAGTGTGATGGAAGTTGATAGAGAAGGGCTGTATATTGATTTTTCTTTGGTATGGACGGAGAGGTCAGGGAAAAGGTCTCGTGTGCACATTAATGATGATAATACTGTACGGTTCCTTTATCTTTTGTGCTGATAAATGGCCGGAATCGTACCCTGAAAATGTTGAAAGAATAGGCCATGTTTATGCAAGTACATCTGGCCAGGATATTGGTGCCAGTACTAGTGGTGGTAGAACAGTTGAAGACAATGAAGATGGAGATGAAGATGAAGATGAAGATAAAGATGGCAGGGGTGTCGAAAGTAGTGATGATGAGTACGTCCCATCGGATGAGGACTCAGATGACGACACTGATTCTGAGTCATCTTCTTCAGTACTATATATTTTTGACGACATTACTGGATGGGAGAAGACTTTAGAGGAAGTAGATTCTAATGGGATAAAAATATGGGACGGCAATCCGTACGGTTGACCTTGATGTACATTTCACCAACAAGCTTGAGGCACAGGCAGTAGTGGGAGAATGGAACTTGCTAGATGGTCGGACTTTCCGGGTGAAAACTTGCTCTAAATGAACCTGGTATGTCGAATGCGAGACCTGTGGGCCCAAATATCCGAAAGAGCGTCTTCACGGCTATGATTTCCTGTGGAAGGCGCGAGTTTCGCTACAGAAGGCCACCGATACTTGGAAAATGGTGGTATGGTCCGATTCCCATAATTGTCTTGGGGCAAACAAGAGAAACGAGTCCCGAAACATCACGTCTTCTATGATTGCTAGACTGGTTACTTAAAATTCAAAACATCCAGATTTTGCAGTTGCCCAAATTCAAATAAAAGTTTTGAAGAGGTACCAAGGTGAATGTAGCTACAAGAAGACATGGCATGGTAGAAGAAAAGCACTTGAGGCTCTGTATTTTCAACAGCTGCCCAACTTCCTTGATGCATTGTTCATGTCAAACCCGGACACCTGTGTGCAATTCAAGTTTAAGAAAAATTCAGGAAGCTCGCAAAGGTTTGTATGTAGGTATGTTTTCTGGGCATTTGGGCCATCTATACAATTATTTCATGCTTGCTAGCGATTAATAACCATCGATGCCACCCACCTTCGAGGATCCTACAAAGGAAAACTAATTGTGGCATGCGTGAAGTGCGCAAATGGCACAATTGTTCCCAACGCATTTGCTCTTGTGGACGAAGAGACCATACACAGTTGGAAATGGTTCTTGAAGTATTTGAAAAAGTTTATTATACAGGATAGGAATACCTGTATTATCTCTGATCAAAATCAGGGTATCCTTACTGCCATGGACATCATGTTGCAAAAATTTCCAGAGATGGAAGTCATGTCCACCGATATTGTCTAGAGCATGTTAAAGCAAACTTGGTTGGGCATTTTCGAAAGGAGAAACTGGGAGGCAACTGTCAAATGATTGGTTCAGCGATGCAAAAGACAAGGTATTTGGCAGAGTGGCAAAAATTAGAAGAAAAAAATGACAAGGTAGCTCGTTGGCTTTAAAAGCTGGTGTTGAGAAATGGACCTGTTTACACGATGGAGGGCATCGTTGGGGAGAAATGACCACTAACATTTCAGAGAGTTTCAATAATGTTCTGAAAGGTGCTAGATTCTTCTCGATCACAGCTTTGATCCTAGCATCCTTTCAGAAAAACAACAATCTGTTTCAGGCAAACATTGATATGATCCAGAAATGTCAGAATATTCTACCTTCTAAGCCCATGAAACTGTATGAAGAGGCCCGGAAGAAATCAATGAGGCAACAGGTAAATCGGTTTAGCAAGAGAAACCAGAAGTACGAAGTGGTTACAATAGCACCTGATAATCAACCATGGAAGGCTGAGGAGAAGCAAGTTGTGCTCTATGCAGATCGAGAGTGCACTTGGGGGTGTTGGCAGACTACCGGATTTCCTTGTTCCCATGCACTTCGAGTTGCCCGTGAGCTAGGTGACGACCCCTTCCCACTTTTTGATCCATGTTACACTACGCAGCAATGGTACCAGTAGTTTTCTGGAGAATTCAACCCAATCATGGAACCATGGCCAAAGGCAACGTGGTAGATCAGGCCAGATGACACTAGACTTGTCCACCATGCTGGGCGGGGTCGGAAGCGTGTGAATCGGAAAAAAGGTCTGATGGATTATACAAGAAAATCTGGCCAGCGAAGACTCCAAACTTGCAGTTTACGTAAACTACAGGGCCATAATGCCAGGGCTTGCCCATATGCAACAGTTTGCGCACGATGTGGAAGTTTAGATCATGATGCTGTGGAATGCCCATTTTCTCATCCACCTGCTGACAGGACCGCTATTGATAAACTTTACGATCCATATGGAATTCGTAGTGTGCGTAAGATCAATTCTGATGATTCTAATTATGCGTAGTGATGATTCTGTTAGTGTTTGTGTTGGTGTGTTGTTTTGAACATTCCTGTAATAAATCTCAGAGGATGATTCTGTTTGCGTTTGTATTTGTGTTAGTGTGTTGGTTTGGATGTTTGTGTGATAAATTCTAATTTTGCGTTTATCAATAGAATGCTAAAACAGTGAAATGTTTCTGCCTTACATAGAATTCGCGTTTTAGAAATACGAATATGTGTTTATGTAACAAAACTAGGCAAGAGTCCAGGACTTGGACTCCAATATAATTAACTTTAAACACCAACCATTTTTAATTTAATTAGTAATTTTTTTTTAAATGTCGGTCTTCATCATTATGTATTAAAAATGTAGTACTAATTATTACTATAGACATGTCGTATAAAGCACTAATTATCTTGGGACGGAGTGAGTACAAATTTTAACATTGTATAAGCATCATGATTTTTGGGGAAGGTATATTATAAAGATGTAAATCGGAATAATCAACAAATCCAATCCCCCGCTTCACAAAAAAAAAAATCATGTTACAATTCAGATCCCATCGACAAAAATAACCAAATTACCCCTGATAGGCAGGAGTCCAGGACTTGGACTCCAGTATAATGAACTGGATATTTATGTCTTTTAGTCGTTCGACTGATTTTCGTGAAGTTATTTAACCCACAAATTATACGCGTTTCAGAAACATGAAATAAATCACGTGAAAATACATTTCGCGTTTCGGAAAAGCGAAATCGTTGTGGGTTAAGTAAAATTCGCGTTTCAGAAACGCAAATTTTTGAAACCGTTGCCCAGATTTCGCGTTTCTGAAATGCGAATTCTTGGGGGGTTAAATCCAGAATTCGCGTTCCCCAGGTCGAATCCATAGAAACCGGCGAACCAACAGTGGGAGTCACCGGAAGCGAGTTTCGGCGTCGATTTTGTGCTTTTTCTAGGCTATATATCGAGGTATGTTGTTATTTTGCTCTCATTTAATCGTTTTTTTTAAATTAAAGCTTTTAAATTCCCGGTTTCTAGCGTACATTTTGTAGTTTTATTTTTTTATTATAATTCGTGATTTAATACTCCATTAATAGATCTAGGACAAATGGTGTAGTTGTGGGTTTTTTTTTAGAGGAGTGGGTTGCCGGCGGAGGAGTCGGGGTGAAGATGAGGGGGGTTGTCGGCGGGATAGAGGGGGAGTCGAGGGGGTAGATGGGGGGTGGACTTGGGATTTAGGGGTTTTGGGTTTGGGCCGGGGGGAGGGGGGAGGGTTGGGTTGGGTTTAGAAGTGGGTTTGGGTTTTGAGGGGTGGGTTTAGGGTTTGAGTTTAGAGGGTTGGGTTTATAGGTTGGGTATTGGGTTGGGTTTAGAGGATTGTGTATTGGGTTTAGAGGGGTGGGTTTAGAGGGTTGGGTTTATAAGTTTGGGTATTGGGTTGGGTTTTTTTAAAATAAAATTTTATAATATATAGGATAATAAATATAGATAAATATTAATCCGTACTTACTAAAATTTAAGTTCGGATTTTTTAATATATAGGATAATAAATATTGATAAATATTAATCCGTACTTACTAAAATTAGGTTCGGATTTTTTAATATATAGGATAATAAATATTGATAAATATTAATCCGTACTTACTAAAATTTAGGGTCGGATTTATAATATATAGGATAATAAATATTGATAAATATTAATCCGTACTTACTAAAATTTAGGTTTGGATTTTTTAATTTATAGGATAATAAATATTGATAAATATTAATCCGTAGTTACTAAAATTTAGGTTTGGATTTTTTAATATATAGGATAATGAATATTGATAAATATTAATCCGTATTTACTAAAATTTAGGGTCAAATTTTTTAATATATAGGATAATAAATATTGATAAATATTAATCCCTACTTAATAAAATTTAGGTTCGGATTTTTTAATATATAGAATAATAAATATTGATAATTATTAATCCGTACTTACTGAAATTGTTTGTAAATTGTTATAGCCATGGACATTGGATCATCTTCTTCCTCCCAATCTCCCTAAAAAAAGCTACGGCACGGACCTAGAGACAATAGTTTGTTGTTCCTCCAAAACGCCCACAGGTCACATAATATATTCCATGGTGCACAGTATGATATAGGGATTTCGGAGCCCAGGCGTGTAGATAGCACAGCGTGGAAATATATAAAAGATGCACCGACGATGACAAAGGAATACATTGAGAAATTTGGTTTTGGACCGTTTTCTAGAGTTGGGTCCAAAAGATGTGACCATGCCCTGCTTACAGCTCTTGTGGAGCGATGGCGCCCAGAGACCCATACTTTTCATTTACCTTTTGGGGAGGCTACCATCACACTGCAAAACGTTGAGGTTCTTTTGGGGCTTCGTGTTGATGGACGTCCGGTTATAGGACATCACTCCACGCTTGAAGGTGGTTGGGCTGCCTATTTGGAGAGGATGTTTGGATTTAGGTTCCAGACAGAGGAGTCCAGATTGACGAGCGTTTTCATCACTGAAATAAAGACTCACATAGAGAACAATCCTTTGATGGACCAGTCCCCCGACGAGGCACACATATAGCGAGCCCGTTGTTTTGTTGAATGCCTAGTTGGTGGATTACTGTTCTCTAACACTACGAGAAACAGTTTTCCACTCGTTCTTGTGTATTTTATGCATACTCCCGAGATTTTCTCGGAGTACAGTTGGGGTAGCGCGGCACTATGTTACTTGTACCGCAGCATGTCCAAGTCATCTATGGCCGCTTCCGCAAAGGCTATTACCGGCTGTGTGATTCTTCTTCAGGTATTTTATCTTTCCATTTCTCTCTCTTTTCATTTTATATTCTCCCATAATTACTTGTGATATTAGCTAATGATCCATAAATTCTGAATTAGCTCTGGGCCTGGGAGCGGATTTTGACGGTTCAGCCAAAGATACTGGGTGGGGAGCTCGATCTTTCTCATTGTCCATTGGGCACGAGGGAATCTTATACATCAAACCTCCGGACATTTTGACATTGTGATTTTTACTGTCATGTCTCAATTTAATGTTAGTTTTTTTGTGCAGGTGGTCCCGTGAGAAAAAAGTTCAAGGTATCACGCGGTTCAATTTGGCCGCCTACCGGGACCAGCTTGCAGTTCTCGCTGAGTCAGATGTTAGTATTCATTTCAATTACTGTAACATATTCTTTATTGGATTTTTTTAATAGTGCCGGACTTTTAATTTCCTATCTCTTACTGTATTACCACTGCAGTTTGTATGGATGCCATACACGACTCTTCTAGGTCATATTGCCAGGGTTTGTCTTGTGGGACATGGCATCTGGCAATCTCAGACATGGCTCATCTGCGGTGATGTCGTTGCGCCACACAACCCCAGTAGGGTATTTCGGCAATCTGGTTATCACCAGCGGATACCCGGCGACGCATTGCTTCCGACTGCAAGGGAAATTACTAGGCTGCTCAAGAGGAAGTCGTTTGGAGGATCCGATAGGAGATGGATACAACAACTAAGGATATATCTCCAGGTTTGGAATGATCACCACGGCAGACTTGTTGGGACTGATGATGATTATGTTGGCGAGCCTACAGCAGATCCGGAGTATCTCTTGTGGTACCATCAGGTTACTGTAAAGTATGTTACGGATCCGACGGACTCTGAAAATACGAGGGGTTTTCACGGCTCTGCAGAGACCTTGCGCCTCATGGTGAGTCTTTCGTACAATTTCTTTCGCCTACAGTCCATTATGTAATTTATTTTCATTGTTATCAGTTTACGATTCTTTCTAACAAAAATTTCAGGCCACTTTGATGGAGGACGTTCATAGTCTGAGTATTATAGGCCAGCGTACTTTTGACAAGGATTCCTTTGGTTATGATCGCTTAGGCGAGATTGCCCAGGTTGCTGAGCGGCGTTGTCTGTCAATGCAACAAATGTTGTACGTCACAATCTCGAGAGGCAGGTTGAGGTTAATGACATTTTGAGTCAAGAACTTGGTCCTGTAGACCCGACCCAGCAATATCCACCTCCGAGGCATTCGCGCAGGTCTCAGTGTGGGCGTGGGGGGCAAGAGACAATCACGCCCACTCAGCCACATTAGTCCTCCCTGCATCAGCAGTCTCATATCCCCTTCACTGACAGTTCATCCCATCAGTCTCCACATCATTCTTCGCCGATCCAACAGGCGTTTTACCATCCCATTATGTCTCCCCAGCACCAGCAGTCCCATTTTGCCTGCACTCAGTTTTCCTCCCCTCAGACTTCCCAGCCTCAGTTTGGAGATCCTTTTATTGACTTTTCTGGGATCCAACAAAGTTCTCTAGATGACCAGTCGATACATTACACGAATAACTTTCTTTCGAGTATGTTCAAGGGTGTTGCGGGTCAGTATCAGGCTGATGACCCAGCTGGAGGTGAGCGTGAGAGTCAGGGTGAAGATGATGATAAGGATGAGGCTGAGGATGCAAACCAGCAGGATCAGTTTGAGGGTCAGGGTTATCACCGCCATGAGGAGCAGGGATCGAGTCAGACTCTAGGGACTCCACCGTTGGCTGTAAGTAAAGACCAGAGAGTGATAAAGGAGCCCGATAGATTGACTTATAGCCATTTTCGAGCTAAAAAGCTCAAGAAGAAGTAGGGTACTAGACTTTTTATGTAGTAGTATTAGACTTGTTTTTGTTTTGCTTTTTTTATGACTTTTTTTTTCCTTTTGTTATGACTTGTAGTATTTTGTTATGACTTGTATTAATATTCTTAAACAATGATTTCACCTGCATCGTTGCTACTTTACTAATATTTATCAAACACACCTTCGCCAATCAAATCTAAAAACAAAAATTTTCTTTTATTTCAAAATATATTTTATTTTTTTAATAATTAATTGTTCCTTCATCTTTTTTTTTAAACAAATAGCAAAGTATTTAGTTTATCCAAACAAAAGATGTAATTCTTAGCTCTTACATACCAACCGTCTATTAAAATTACCACATCCACAAAAGGATAGTACCATGTAGCTAAAACAAACATTCAGTAAACTAAAGATCTCTTTAAAATTAAGATGCGGTGCATTAAACAATTGCATTGGCAGCACTTGCAATGCTAGGCCAAAGATCATCACACTCCTTTCCAATGGGACCACTGATTGCAGAACCTTTCATTTTTCCCTTGGGATTAACAATCACTCCGGCATTATCTTCAAAGTCCATGTAGACACTGTCCTTTCGGCGGCATGGCTTGTGCTGGCGGCCAATGACTGCGGGCATGACCTTCTTCCAGAGATCGGGCTTACCCTTCTTGACGGTAGCCATAACCATGTCACCGATGCAAGCAGAAGGGAGACGGTTGAGCGTACCCTTCATTCCCTTCACTGAAATGATGTAGAGGTTCTTTACCCCGGTTTTGTCGGCGCAATTCACCGTCGCAACTACTGGAAGACCCAGAGGCATCCTGAACTTGTTACCCGCCGATCCTCCCCGTCCTCGCTTCGACAATTTTGCTGTCTCCCCTGTGAGGTCTCCGAAAAGAGAAAATAGTTGCTTCATCTTAAGCGTTGATAAATTATAATAAATATTTCTTAAAATTTATTCATATTTTAAGCTTTTTTCTTATATTGAAACCGTCATAATAAATATAAACAATTGGTAAATTAAATTACATCTAATTAATATAATTTCATAAAATTACGTCATTTTTCATTATTGAAACTTTTTCATGTAAAATTATTTTATAAAATAATGATTAAAATTTTAATATAATTTCTTAAAAATTTAATAAATTATAATAATTATTTCATACTTTTAATAATTTATATTTAGTGTAGCTATATTTAATCTAATGAGTATCAATTATAATATTATATTCTTATTCAAAATTTAATTTTCCTATTATTATAATTATCAATATAATTTTCCTCTTTATAGCTCTATTCAAAATTTAATGATTATCAATTATAATTTTAAAATTTTACCTTAATTTCATTATTAAAATTTAATAATTTTTTGAAGTAAATTTCCCTAAAAATTTTTAAACTAGTTAAACTAGGCAAATTATTATAATTATCAATATAATTTTCCTCTTTATAGCTCTATTCAAAATTTAATGACTATTTCCTTTTTTATTTAAATAAAAATTTTTTTTTATTTTTTTCGCGCTTTAAAAATGCGAATCCTTATTTCATTAATTTTTTTTACCATTAATTAATTATGATTAAGTTAAATTAATTAGGATATCTTATTATTAGCGTTTCTGAAACGCGAAAATGGTGGTTTCGCGTTTTCAAAACGTGAAATTTTTTTTTAGCATTTCTGAAACGCAATTTTTCTTATTTTCGTGTGTTTGAAGCGTGAAAGAATTAGTTTTGGCCACAATTAAAACCCTAAATCTATTTTGTTCTTCAAATTTTTTTTAGATATATATATATAGATCTATATATATATATATATATATAAGTAAATTTCCCTCATGTTATAGGGAAAATGTAAAAGCCAAGGATAGGCCAATAAACTCGGTCATTAGTCCAAACGGGCCTTAGACTATGTTAGTCTTTTCTTATTTTTTCTATCGGTAAATTAAAAATTAAAATTTAAATTGAATAATTATTTCAAAATAAAAGGAATATTTCTAGAATTCCAAACCATGAAAATTTTCACATTTAATAGAATTATATACTTTGTTAATCCCAAAAATAAATTAATCTAATCTTTAGGCAACTATAAGGATGAGTTACTTTAGCGAGTATATATACTACACTTAGTGACTTAGATGAGTACAACAATAAGAATAATAATAAGTTTTCTATTCACTTATTTTGACCAAAATGATTGTTTTGTTTGAATTTTTTATTTTAATATATTTTGTACAAAAGAATGAAAATTCACGATGAACAATCATCTTGCAATGGATTGAATAAATAATTCAGTAAATACTTATCCATGGCATTGTCATTCACAGCTGTTATAAAATAAGTTATACAAATAACAAGATTCATATACATATGTTCAAGATATCTACTCTCTATATGTATAGTGTCTTGCTTGTGATTTTAACACCCTGATATACAAAACAGAAAACAAACACAATTTATAAAGAGCCTCATAAATGCTTCATCAGGTTCCGGACTTTTTTAACATATTGACATGGAAACAACTTGTGTACATTTTTTTTTTTTTTTGGTTGTAAAGCTCCGTTATCACATAATCTAGAATATCTAGTTTATCACAGAAGCTTGATAAACTAGAATATCATATTCTTAAATGTCAAATTTGCCATGTCCTTTTTACTTAAGCATTTTGTTTAGAGTTGCACTTTATAGCAGACTTCTGGGAAATGGCAACTACGTATAGAGCTTGAAATTTGGAACTCGGCTTCAGATATATATACCGGATCATTTGCTGCTACTTTGGAGCCTAACTGAAGAGAATGTGTAAAATGTTTCTTTGATTCATAAGCATGATCCGGATTAGGAATCGGTTTTAGTTCATGATTCAAGCTGGTTTTTGTATAGGTGTTTTGTTACGGTTTTACCCTTGCTGATTGTATAGGTATAGGACTTAAGAAGCAGGGTCTTTTAGTCTTTTACTATATTTCAGTTAAGGGAGTAAATGATGTATATATATATTCATTTTCAGACAGAGTTAATTAATTCAATCAACCATTTTCTCACAAATTCAATACTCGAATCTTCTTTCCCAAACTGAGCTTGCATTTTACTTCTATAAACCCTAGATGTTTGCCCTTCAATTCATCTAGATGGTATCAGAGCAGGTTAATCCTGCTACTAAAAACCGTTCTAGTAGTTGAATCTTGATAAACCTCACAAACCGCTTCTGCTAATTCGAAGAAATGGAGGAGATCTATTTCGGAGAAGGTTCCCGAAGAACGATGATTAGAGCTGATGCAGCTCGAATTGAGCGAAGAAATGAAGACTTTCAAGATGATCAAAGCTTCTCTGAAGCTCGTAGAGAAAATTCGGCCATAAACTATGGCGGATACATGCACCCTCTGACCTTGCTGCCGTCTGATATTTTGAGTTTGTCAATCATCAATTTTCAACTGACATCAATGAATTATGTCACTTGGAGTCATTCTATGAGAAGAGCATTAAGTTCGAAAAATAAGCTTGGTTTCATTACAGATTCTGTGATTAAACCTTCAAAAGAGGATCAAGATTTTGAACAATGGTGTAGAGTCAATGATACCGTGGTATCCTGGATTTTGAATTCTATTTCGAGTGATTTGCTTGAAGGTTTTAATATGGAAGAGGATGCGAAGGAATTATGGCAAGATTTGAAGGATAGTTTTGGCACCAGTAATACGCCCCAAATATATCAGTTGAAGCGTGAAATTGGTAGATTTGTTCAAGGAAATCTGAGTCTATCTTGTTACTATACAAAGTTTCAGAAATTCTGGGATGAATTGAGCAGTATTGATCTGCCAGAAGTTTGTACTTGTCATGGATGCACCTGCAAAGCAAACAGACCGAATGGTGGGAAGGAAGAAAGAGATAAGCTCATGCAGTTCTTGACAGGGCTTAGTGAGAACTATCTCCCTATTAAGAATCAGATTTTGGCTACAGAACCGCTTCCTGCTGTTAAGAAAGCATATGCAATGGTCATGAATGTTGAAAGGCAACAACAGTTGCATATGTCCTTGGAGAATCATGTGGAACAAGGGGCATTGATGGTGCATAAACCGAATTTTCATGGCAATAATACCAATAAAAGCCATAAACCTGGTAACAGCAACTCAGGAAATACAAATGGACAACTGAGAAACAGCTATAGCATCATTGGAAAGGAGAATGAACTTAGACTAGATAAGGCTGCAAGAAAGCTACTGAAGTGTAAACACTGTGGCATCAATGGTCATCTGAAGACAGGATGCTTCAAACTTATTGGTTATCCTGATTGGTTCAAGGTATTGAAGGAGCAAAGGAATACACAGGCAGGAAGGATTTCTGCACATATGGTTGAATCACCAATTGATGAGAATGTAGGCACAAGAGTTGGAGGATCTGAGGAATTGATAGGCATGATGAACAACATAAAGAGGATGGAACAAGAGCTGAGCAGAATGATGAAAGGTAAAGGAACGTCTCAGACTGGTGATCATATCAACTTTGCACACTACTCGGATTTTGCAGGTATGACCACTTTCAGAGCATTGAATTCATTAGATTGTTTACTGCTTTCTTGTTGGATAATGGAATCTGGTGCAACTAGCCATATGACCTCAGATTTACAACTTTTATCCCTTTACAAACCAGTAAACTCTTTGACACCTGTGTATTTACCTGATGGAAGTATTAAACAGGTTAAACACATTGGTTCAGTCAACCTAGGAAATCACTTCACATTATATGATTGTTTGCACATACCTTCTTTTAAACACAACCTCATTTCTGTAAGCAAGTTAGCATCATCCTCAAAGATTGATTGCTATTTTTCTGCCACTTTTTGCCTGTTACAGGACTAAGTGACTAGGCAATTAATGGCTGTTGGAAAGGTGGTGAACCAACTTTACATTGTTGATCATCAGTCCTTTTCCAAAGAGAAAATCTTAGAGTTCATTAGGGATCATGTTAATCACCCTTTTGTCCCTTCAATGGACAGTATTCCATGTCATTCTTCCAATCATGTA